AAATACTCGACCACTTACTAAGGTATTGTCCAATTCTGGGGCTTATGAATAAAACAAAACCCCTGGAAGTGCCAGCATTTCTTTCTTGACTGTATCTCACAGTTATGGGTGGAAAGTTCTTGCAGGACCCAGGAATCCCACTTTACCTTCACTGACTGCTAAGACACCTATAGGGGATGCAGTTCTACAGCAGCTGGGATGCCTCAAAGACCAATACAGTTCATTATCCACCATTTTCTTATCTACACCCTCAATAAACAACTGGTCCTTTTGCCTCAGCCTGTTACTGCTTGCACTTTCTCTATGCTCTACCTATACTTCCACAATGCAATTACATCATCTGGTGCTCCAACCAACCCTGAGCCATTCCAAGTACCACAAAGTGAGAGCCAATTTAGGGCAAGAGGGGTTTTGCCTCTTAGGCCCATGGTACCTGGCAGGGACTTTTTACAGCTTACCACACTTCTCAGATGAATTAACCACAGGGAGAGTCTTGGACCTCAACATTCAGTAGACTCAGCCAATATGCCTTTGTGCAAGTATGAGATTCTTTCTCAGATGGCCATTGCAGGTAAGCAGAGCAATAGGAACACAGAGTAAGAGGGAATTACCCAGGAAGCAGAGACAGCTAGAGGAGTTCTACCTCCAGCTCTGCTCACAAGGATGTTGCCACCTAACAATGGCATCAAGCCTCTAGAAGAGGTACCATAGTAGAGCTGGGATGGGATTTATAGGAAGAGCCAGAACTTCCTCATAGAGATATATTGCTACTACTGCATTTAGAACTGTTTCCCATATTTGAAGGCTAATTTACCTTACTTAAAATTTCAGATTTCCAGGCTCCACCTCAGACCAACAAAATCACTCTCCGGGGGAAGGGCTTGGAAATATATATTTAAGCTTCCCAGGATTCTTTCAGGGCAAATTTGGGACTTTCATTATGGGGGTACTTCATCCCATATCTCATTAGAAAACTTTCTGTTCTGAATGGGTATCTTAAACATGCCAGTGGAAATGGCATAAAGTGTGGCCTGGAATCTCTAACAATGAATTGTAACTAAGGAACTAAAAACATGGCAGAAGGTTATTTAGGGGCTGGGGTGAAGAAAAGGGGGAAGTCAGCTGTCAGTACTACTCAATCTACAACTTGGAAATTGGGAATCAATTTCTTACTATTGCTGAAAAGAGATGCACCTAAGCCTCTCTCTTAGTTTATGTTCCAGATCAAAGAATCAGGGAAAGAAGACAGAACTAATACCACCTCCCCTCCAGAGAAATGTCCAAAGATCATGGGGGAAAGGGAAGGTTTCCTCCAGTATCCTCCACCCTATATCATTCTTCAGCTATACTGTAGCTAAGGTTCCTGGGCCTCCCTGATGTTCTGGGCAGATAGAGATAATTGTCAAGTAGGTACAGTGTTGCTCTGTTACTTCCAGTGTCTCCTCTCTTTGGACGTGCTTTTATTTTTGACTCAATAGCATTTTATACTTAATGAGTATCATCCAAAAGTCACACCAACATTTCTTCAGCATCTCGTTTTACTTTTTGGAGGAGAGAATAGTAGGCAGAGGAGGAAAAACAGGTATTACGGGAATCTCCGAAATGTATGAGACTGTATGAGAGTGCATGTGGCTTCCTTGAGGCCTGGCCAGCTTGTCCTAGAAGATTCCATGTGGAGGGCTGTGGGTTGCAACTCTCTAGTGCACAGTCCTCTCTTTTTGGCGATGATAATCTGGGGAAAAGAAGAAAGAAAAGGAGGAACAAAGCAGGTTATTTTCAGGCCTGAGCTCCCAATTCTCTACCCCCAACTCATGGGGCCTCTAGTAATCAGTAAACTTAAAGCATCCCTATCCAGAGCCCTTCCGAGTAAGTAAAAAAGAGAGTGACACTTACTGTAGGGAAAGAAGCGGACACGCATGCTGATTTCACGGGCTGTCTTCAGGATCTCAACAGCCTAAAAGGAGCACAACAGCTTGTACAAATGAAAAGATATGACCCAGAATAGAATCATAACAGGAGGAAAGTCATTTGCCAATCCAACCTTCTGGGTCACTAATAGCTGCTTCCGACTAGTACACTTCCTCAGGAGAGATTCTTATTGAGTTACATACAGATTAGGCTAAACCTGTCTAACTTTTCCTACCTGGGATGGCTTTTGGCCTCATCACAGCCCAAGTGCAATGCTCACCTTGCTATGCTCAATATCCTGGAAATCCACATCATTTACAGCTAGGACTTGGTCTCCTTCTTGAAGTCCTGCTCGATGTGCATCAGAGTCGGGGATCACCTGTTGGTAAGGAGAGAATATATGTGGTTGAGGTAGGATAATTTCAAAGTGCTATTCAAATGTAAGGTGCTATTCTGTGTGTGTGAGAACATATGTGTGCATGTGAAAATGTAGGGAAACAGATGCTTGCCAGGTGGGAAGTTTTAAGTGGGAAAGAGTTTCTCCATTACACCCCTTTTCTATGAGTCTACAAAATCATCCTTCTCCCAGGTGTTGGGACATCACAGTTCTGCAACCTGATGACAAAGGTAAGTAGCTATCCATATTGCCTACCAGGCACACTCACCTTGGAGATGAAGATGCCTAGCTGGGAGGCCTTTCCTCCTCGGATGTTAAATCCCAACTGCAAGAGAAGAGCACAGAGTGGGGGCTCAATATAGACCACAAACACAAGAATATCTAGTAGCATCACTATGATAGCTTGGCTATGTGTCCCTCAGAGAGAAGTCAGAAGTTGTGGAAATGGTATCTCAGCTTTTCTGCCCAATAAAGGTGGTTTCCTTACCTCCCTACCTGTTTCCCAATCTGTCCTCCCAACCACGGCTAACTTCTGGGCCTAGTATGGACAAATCTGGCCTGGAATAAGATGTCATTGTTCCATAAGCTCACCTGAGCTCCAGGGGGTTTCTTCAATGTGACGATTCGGGGCAGAAACTGGGTCAACTCATTGTTATAGTCTGGGTGGTATACTCTCTGCAAGAAACAGCAACACCAGAAATCTTACTATTAGTCTTATATTTTATGTTCACCTTCATCTGGAACACAAATGTATCACCCTGAAGTCAGGAAAAGGTGAAGTCATGGACTTAGTTTAAGTAGAACAGATAACACAGTCCAAATGGGTAGATGGATAGCCTGGGGAAATGCTAGTAGTCCAGTAGCTCCCCACTTCATTACTTTGACAGAATGGAAACTGGGGATCTGAATTTCCAGAATTCTCTGGTGTGAATGGACTCTGGAAGGAGGACTCCATAAGAAGCTTCTAATGGGTCCAGTTGCTCAGAATCCAATTTCTGGGTCCCTTGGCTACAACAAAGGCTAAGATTCATTCTCCACCGAGCTTTCTAACCCTGCTATCCTACCTTTCAAATATTATCTCATGCTCATGGGAAAAAATCAGCTATTCAAGAGTACAGATGGTTCCCACCTCATGAGGAGGAATCCATGCTGGGGGATTCTCATAGGCAGGCAGGAAAACCACTGGGTAGTCATCATAAGGAATCCGGCTGTCCATCTCCAGCAAGGCTCTGGAATGGAAGGGTGAATCAAAGCTGACAAAAATGATTCAAAAGGGACAGCAGTCCAGCAAGTTTCAGAAAACGACACCAACCCATCCAAGGTTGTCAGCCTAGTACCAGCCCACTTCTAGGTGATAGATTGGTGGAAAGAAGGAAGAAAAAAATGGAAGAAAAAACAATGAACTTTGCTGGATATCTGGATGCCAAGTAACCTGCTAGGTACTCTATAGAGATGATCTTCTTTCTCGCAACACTCCTGCAAAATAGATGTCACTATCAACCTTGAGAACGGGCAAGCAGAACCGCGTCTAAAAAGATCTACTTTGGAAATCCAAGGGAGTGCTGACTCCAACTATCCACAGGGACTCAAGGCAAAGTACCGCTCATTTCCTAGACGTGATCGGTAAAGGTGGGGGTCCCCAGAACGACCCTTCCTTCACCACCAGCAACGTTCAAATCCTCTCCCCACATTCAGCGTGAGCCCCGCGCATTCGAAACTGTAATTGCCGTGTTACCTCACCTGCCAACAGGCCTCAGCCAGCGCAGGTTCTGGTCGCCGCCAAATCAGCTTGAGAACCGGAAGCAGATGCTCCGCAGGGTCGGTAGGGGCGGGATTACGGTGCGGCGCGCAGGCCCGCCCCTTCCCAAAGCGTCCCCTTACGCACACCGACGTGCGTGCTCCTCCCGCCGGCTGTCAGCGCTCCGATTGGCTGGTGCCTCCAGAGCCAATTTGAAACTTAGCGGTTAAATATCCGGTTGGGACACCACCGCTGGAAGACCGGAGAAGGTACGTTTAGTTTGGCCAGTGAAGGGGACACACTTTAGCTCAGGAACTGCCTTTCCCTGTACCCTGGGGCTGTGGGTTTTTAATCATCTCTGCTGGGGGTTTTTCTTTCCATTTCAGACGCCGCTTCGCTGTCTTTAGAGTGTCGGGCTGCCGAGGAGTCCTGTGGTGGCCAAATCCGAAGGAGAGTGACTCTTCAACGGCAGCGACCGGGCTGCGAGGAGGCTTACGCAGAGGTCCGTAACCCATCCCCCACCCCCTGCGGAGGGCCGGAACTAAGGGAGGATGCCCCCCCACCCCTGCCAACCCACCAAGATTCATCAGCAAGCCTCTTTTCTTTTTCTCCGTCATAGACAGTGCTGAGGTAGGATCATGACGGAAGAGGTGAAGGGAATTCCTGTAAAAGTGGCACTGCGATGTCGCCCTCTGGTTCTCAAAGAGATTAGTGAGGGCTGTCAGATGTGCCTTTCCTTCGTACCCGGGGAACCGCAGGTGCGTAGCAGTCTGGGCCCGCGTCGGAACACCTGGGGCCAATTGACAGTGAGGGGCGTGGTCTGGCCTTTCATTATTTTCTCACCCCTTGTCGTTTGCCTTCTCTAGGTGGTGGTAGGTACTGATAAGTCCTTCACCTACGATTTTGTATTTGACCCCTCTACTGAACAGGAAGAAATCTTCAATACAGCAGTAGCACCACTCATAAAAGGCATATTTAAAGGTGAGACTGTTTCATTCTTCAAACGATTCTTGAGCATATACTGTGTCAGGCACTGTGCTTGGATGTTGTAAATACAAGAATGGAAGAAGCATGAGTCCTGCCTTCAAAAAGCCCACAGCCTAGGAACTAATGCAATAAAATTTGTGAATGTCTCTGTACCCTTGAAACTAGTTTTGTACTGTATTTGCTTTCTGTGTGTGTTTATGTACATATATACATATACATACATATATGTGTGTATGTATATTAATCCTCACCCAAAGATATTTTTTCCATTAGTTTTTAGAGAGTGGGGGGAGGAGAAAGAGACATTGGGGCATGCACCCGAATGGGCTGGGGATCGAACCTGCAAACCAGATGCGCTCCCTTGACCACCCAGGTGTGAGCCCTTGATCGGAATCGAACCTGTGACACTTTGGTGCCCAGGCCGATGCTCTAACCACAGAGCCACATGGGCCAGGGTGACTTTTATATATTTTCGTTTGTCCTGGAACCTCATTAGATTCTAAGTTCTTTGATGGGTGCTGATGATAATTAGTGTGCCAGTCTCCTTGAGGTTCAAGCACTGCAAGACCTGTGGAAGGATCCTGCAGGACTGCAAAGTTTAGGGGTAGGAGTAGAAGTAGATGACTACATAAATAATTTAGAAGATAAAAATATACAATAGAATCAATCAGTCCTGCTCTAGAAGTAGCAATGCTTTTATGCAAAATGGTATGAAAACTAGAAGGATGACACTAACTGTTTGGGGAATCTGTGGTGAATTTCACAGCATACGGAACCTTTGAGATAGGACTTGAATGATGAGTAGAATTCTTTTAAAGAAGGAGATTTCCTAAAGTCCCTGAGTACTCTGGCCAATTAATAATCTTTATTGCAGAAGCTAAGGCTTTAGTGTTATTGAAGACCATAGCAGGGTTATGAAGAAGGGAGCAGTGCCTAAGAGGTCTTTAATTATTGTTCTAGGACAGTGGTTATTCAGGATTCAAAGCAGAGGGCTATTTAAAAGAAGTAAAACCATGACATATTAGTCCCTTAAAGTTGTAAAGGACATTTACATCATCTAGTCTAGCTTTCCTTCCAAGGAAACATGCTTTCTAGCAATACCTCTGTAAAGTAAACTTCCATTGTCTAATTTTTTTTTTTTGGACAGGGAACTCACTGACTCACAGGGTAGTCCTGTTGATTGGTTTTTTAGACAACTCTAATTGCCTTACTTTATAGTGAGATGAAATTTGCCTCCTGGTAATGTCTACCCAGCGATGTTAGTTCATCTCTCTAGACAAACAGAAGCCTTCTTCCAGGCAACAGCTATTCACATTTCTTTTTTCACTTTTTAAATGATGTAATGACTCTGGGCACATTGAATACTTGTTTCAATTTTTTAAAATATTAAAGCAATAATCTCAAACTTATAGAAATGTTGCAAGAATACCATAAAAAACCTTTTTTCCTGAATCGTTTGAGATTAGTTATTGATCTGATGCCCCCTGAATACTTTAGTGTATATTTGCTACAAACAAGGACTTTCTCCTACATAACTACAATACAGCCACCAAAATTATAAAATTAGCATTCCAACATTACTACCATCCAGTCCTCAGATCTCATTTAAGTTTCACCAATTGACTCAATTATGCCCTTTATAACAGAATGTCTAGTTTAAAATCACATGTTGTATTTAGTTGTACTGCCCTTGTAGTCTCCTTCATTCTAAAATTTTGTCATTCTTTTTCTGACTTTTATAATCATGACACTTTTGAAGATCAAAGGCCAGTTATTTTGTAAACCATTTCCAGATTTTGTTTTATCTGATGTTTATTTCTGATTAGATTCAGGTTCTCTTTGAATACTGTCAGTCAACACATGATTTTTTTTTTCCACTTTTAAAAACAATTTATTTTGTAAAACTACAGACACATACACAAGTAGAGAGAATAGTATTTAAAAAACCCAGCAACCATGTTGTGATAAGCAGCAGTGGCCCAATGTTTTATCACCTATGTCTCTCTCCCCCATCACTTGATTATTATTTTTTTAATTTATCTTTATTTTTGAAAGTATTACAGATGGTCCCTTTTTTTCTGCCACTGACATTCCTCCTCCCCACTCCCATCCCCTCCCAGGACTTTTCCCCACTATCATCTGTGTCCATGGGTTATTCATATATGCATATAAGTTCTTTGCGTGATCTCTTCCCTCCCCCCAGCTTCCCTCTGAGAATTCTGTCTGTTGCATGCTTCCATGTCTCTGGATCTATTTTGTCAGTTTATTTTGTTCATTAGATTCCACATACAAGTGAGATCATGTGATACTTAACTTTCTCTGACTGCTTATTTTGCTTAGCATAATACTCTCCAGGTCCTTCCATGCTGTCTCAAAGGGTAAGAGGTCCTTTTTTACAGCTGCATTGTGTAACTGTACCACAGCTTTTTTATCCCTTTATCTACTGATGGGCATTTGGGCTGCTTCCAGATCTTAGCCATTGTAAATAATGCTGCTATGAACATAGGGATGCATACATTCTTTCTGATTTATGTTTCAGGCTTCTTAGGGTATATTCCTAGAAGTGGGATCACTGGGTCAAATGGCAGTTCCATTTTTAATTTTTTGAGGAACCTCCATACTGTTTTCCATAGTGGCTGCACCAGTCTGCATTCCCACCAGCAGATTACTAGGGTTCTTTTTTCTCCACATCCTCCCCAGCACTTGTTTGTTGATTTATTGATGGTGGCCATTCTGGCAGCTGTGAGGTGGTACCTCATTGTTGTTTTAATTTGCATCTCTCTGATAATTAGTGATGTTGAGCATTTTCCATATGTCTCTTGGCCATTTGTATGTCCTCTTTGGAGAAGTATCTATTAACCTCTTATCAGATGTATCATTGGCAAATATGTTCTCCCATTCAGTGGGTTGTCTTTTTATTTTGATGCTGGTTTCTTTTGCTGTGCAGAAGCTTTTTATTTTGATGTAGTCCCATTTGTTTATTTTTTCCTTTGTTTCTCTTGCCCTAGGCATTATATCAGTGAAAATTTTGCTATGAGATGTCTGATATTTTGCTACCTATGTTTTCTTCAAGGATTTTTATGGTTTCGTGACTTAACATTTAAATCTTTTATCCATTTTGAGTTTATTCTTGTGTATGGTGTAAGTTGGTTATTTAGTTCATTTTTTTTACATGTACCTGTCCAGTTATCCCAACACCATTTATTGAAGAGACTGTTTTTTACTCCAATGTATGCTCTTGCCTCCTTTATCAAATATTAATTCAGCATATGGCTTGGGTCAATATCTGGGTTCTCTATTCTGTTCCATTGATTATATGCCTGTTCTTGTGCCATTACCAGGCTGTTTTGATTACAGTGGCTTTATAGTATAATTTGATATCTGATATTGTGATCCCTCCAACTTTGTTCTTCTTTCTCAAGATTGCTGTGGCTATTGGGGGGTTTTTTTGGTTCCATCTAAATTTTTGGTGTGTTTGTTCTAGATTGGCGAACTATGCCATTGATATTTTAATAGGGATTGCATTGAATCTATAGATTGCTTTGGGTAGTATGGACATTTTAATGATGTTGATTCTACCAATCCATGAACATGGTATAGTCTTCCGCTTGTTTATAGAGTCTCTCTCTTTTTTCAACCTTCTATAGTTTTCCAAGTACAGGTCTTTTACCTCCTTGGTTAAGTTTATTCCTAAGTACATTAATTTTTTTTTGTTGCAGTGGTAAATGGGATTTTTTTTTTTACTTTCTCTTTCTGAAAGTTCATTATTGGTGTATAAAATGCCAATGATTTCTGGGTATTAATTTTGCATCCTGCTACATTGCCAAATTCATTTATTAAATCTAGTAGTTTTTTTGGTAGAGTCCTTAGGGTTTTCTATGTATGATGTCATGTCATCTGCAAATAATGACAATTTTACATCCTCCTTTTCAATTTGGATGCCTTTTATTTTTTCTTCTTCTCTGGTTGCTGTGGCTAGGACTTCCAGTGCTGTTGTATTAAAGTGGTGAAAATGGACAACACTGTCTTGTTCCTATTCTTAGGGGAAATGGTTTTAGTTTTTGCCCATTGAGTATGATGTTGGCTATAGGTCTGTCATATATGGCCTTTATTATGTTGACATATGATCCCTCTATTCCACTTTGAGAGTTTTTATCAAAAGGGGTGTTGGATTGTGTCAAATGCTTTTTCTGCATCTATTGATGTCATCATGTGATTTTTGCCTTTCAATTTGCTTATGTGGTGTATCACATTTATTGATTTGTGAGTATTGTACTTACCTTGCATCCCTGGAATAAATCCCACTTGGTCATGTTGTATGATCTTCTTAATATGTTGCTGGATCTCATTTACTAATATTTTGTTGGGGGTATTAGCATCTATGTTCATCAAGGATATTGGCCTGTAATCCTCTTTCTTTGCAGTGTCTTTATCCAGTTTTGGAATTAGGATTATCCTAATAAATGCTGGTCTTGTGAAAAGAACTTATAAGTGTTCCTTCCTCTTGGATTTTTTGGAATAGTTTGAGGAGGATAGCTGTTAGTTCTTCTTTGAATATTTGGTAAAACTCCCCTGTGAAGCCATGTGGGCCAATGCTTTTGTTTCCTGGTAGTTTTATTTTATTTTTTTTATTACTGCTTCAATTTTTTCAGTTTTTATCATCCTTCTTAGTGTTTTTGACACTTCCTGATTCAGTTTTGGAAGGTTGTATTTTTCTAGGAATTTGTCCATTTAATCCAGGTTGTCCACCTTGTTGGCATATAGTTGTTCATAGTATTTGTTTATAATCCTTGGTATTTCTGTGGTGTTGTTACTTCACCTCTTTCCTTTCTGATTTTATTTATTTGGGTTCTCTCTCTTTGTTTCTTGATGAGTCTGGCAAAGGGTTCATCAGTGTTGTTTATCATTTCAAAGAACCAGCTCTAGGTTTCATGGATCTTTTTTATAGTTGTTTTAGTCTCTATGTCATTTATTTCTACTCTGCTCTTTATTATTTCCTTCCTTCTACTTACTCTGGGCTTTTCATGTTGTTCTCTTTCTAAGTCTTTTAAGTTGTAAGGGTAGATAGCTTATTAAAAGTTTTTCTTGTTTTTGAGGTAGGCTATGAACTTCCCTCTCAGGACTGCTTTCATAGATTTTGAGTTGTGTGTTCATTTTCTTTTCTTTCCAGGAAGTTTTTATTCCTTCCTTGATCTCATTGGTAACCCATTCATTGTTTAATAACATGCTGTTATTTATCCTCCATGTGTTTGAATGTTTTGGGGTGTTTTTGTTGCAGTTGATCGCTAGTTTCATGCCATTGTGATCCAAGAAGATGGCTTGATATGATTTCAATCCTTGAATTTGTAGAGACTTAGTTTGTTTCCTTACATGTGGTCTATCTTTGAGAATGACCCATATGCACTTGCGAAGAATGTATATTCTGCAGCTTTGGGGTGAAATGTTCTGTAAATATCAATTAAATCCATTTGATCTATTGTGTCATTTAGGATCGCTGTTTCCTTGTTAATTTTTGTGTGTGTGTGTGTGTGTCTAGAAGATCTACCCAGTGATGTCAGTGGGGTGTTAAAGTATCTTACTGTGATTGTATTGCTTTTGATTTCTCCCTTTAAGTCCTCCAGAAGTTATTTTATATATTTGGGTGCTCCTATATTGGGTGCATATATGTTTACCAGTTATATCGTTTTTTATCAATCCCTTTGGTACTATGAAGTAGCCTTCATTGTCTCATATTGTGGCCTTCATTTTGAAGTCTATTTTGTCAGATATAAGTATTGCTACCCCAGCTTTTTTTTCATTTCCATTTGCATGGACAATTTTTTTCCATCCCTTCACTCTCATTCTTTGTGAGTGTTTTGTTCTGATGTGGGTCTCTTGTAGACAGCATATATTTGGGCCATGTTTTCTTTCCATTCAGCTCTCCTATGTCTTTTGATTGGAGCATTTAAGCCATTTACATTTAAGGCTATTGATAGGTACTTATTTGTTGCCATTTTTATTCTTTATGCCAGTGTTCCTCCCTCTCTATTTCTTATTCTTATACCAATCCCTTTAGCATTTCTAGCAGTTCTGGTTTGGTGGTAATAAACTCCTTTAGCCTTTTTTTGGTCTGTGAAGCTCTTTATTTCACCATCTATTTTGAATGATAGCCTTTCTGGATAGAGTAGTCTTGTTTTCAGTCCCTTGCTTTTCATTACTTTGTATATTTCATGCCACTCCCTTCTGGCCTGAAGTGTTTCTATTGCAAAATTAGCTGACAGTCTAATGGGAGCTCCCTTGTAGGTATCTTCCTGTCTGTCTCTTGCAGAATTGAAGATTCTTTTTTTGTCTTTAATGTTTACCATTTTAATTATGATGTGTCTAGGTGTGGGTCTTTTGGGGTTCATCTTGATTGGGACTCTCTGGGTTTCCTGAACTTGAGTGATTTTTTTCCTTCACCAGGTTAGGGAAGTTTTCTGTTACTGTTTCTTCAGTTTCTCTATCCCTTGCTCCCATTCTTCTCCGTCTGCAACCCCTATGATGCAGATGTTGTTACTTTGCCTGTTGTCCCAAAGCTCCCTTAAAATCTCCTGCTTTTTCATTATTTTCCCAATTGCTCCACTGAATGGGTGTTTTTTTCTACCTTGTCTTCTAATTTGCTGATTCATTCCTCAGCTTTTTCTAGTCTACTGTTGAATCTTTCCAGAATATTCTTTATATCAGCTATGTTATCCTTCATTTCTGATTGATTCTTATTCATTGTTTCTATCTCTTTTATCATGGTTGTGTAGTTCTCATTAAGTTTCTTGTAATTCTCATTAAGTTGCTTGTAGTTCTCGCTAAGTTGTTTGAGTACCCTTATAACCATTACTTTGAATTATTTATCTGACAAGTTGCTTGCCTCCATTTCACTTAGTTCCTTTTCTTGCTCTTCCTCTTTTTTTTGGGGAGGGGGGGCTTATTTCATTGTCTCCTCATTTTAGTAGTCTGGTAGTGAGGGGTGCCAGATGATGTGGGTGGGGGTCACTGGGGTGGGTCCGTGTGTCCAGAGGTGACTGGTTGTGCTGGGTCGCAGTGGTGGGTTGAATCTTCTGGTGGCACCAGGTAAGGTGCGCCGGTCGCGGAGACAGGTTGGTGTGTCCAGGGGCATCAGGTCACGTCTACTGTACAGTATCAGGTGGTAGAGACATTTGTTAGGGGCTCTGGGCTCTAAGCTCAGGCCCAAAGGGTCGCTTTGGCTGGTCTGTATATCTGATCAGTATTCCTGAAAAAGAACAGAGAAAGAAGAGGAATCTGCTTTAAATCTTTTGGGAGAGGGAAGAACTCCCCACTCAACTTCCTTGTACTTAGACAGTGGAACAGGGAAGAGCCCCTCTGCTCAGATCTCTAGCAGAGAGAAGGAGCTCTTCACTCCTGAAAAACTCAACACATGATTTTGATTTGTTCCATTACTGCTGATATTCATTTTGATAACTTGTTTGGAGGCTTTAGGTAGGGAGCACAGCTACTTGTATACTCTTGACCATAAAACAATCCTCTCCTCTATCCCAAATGTCCTCTTCAACCAAGTGAGTGTGCAGCTTCAGGAGGGATGCACATGGAGCAGTGAGGGGGCAAGGAGACACCCTCCTAGCTAGCCAGATCACCTGAATCAACCCTGGAGATCAATGGGGTGACAGATGTTGCAGCCAGGTCACCTTCACATCCTGATGTTCATTTTGATCATTTGATTAAGGTGTTATCTACCAGATTTCTCCACTATAAAGTTAATCTTTTTCCTATTTACATATTTGGAAGACCATCATATGATTCTAATTTTCTTCTAATTAACCATTCCTCCTTTAGCCATTCCTGAAACAATATGGTTTCCAAAGCCTTTACTATCTGGTCATCTTCCTCAGAATGTACCTTCACAGCTTAGTGAGAGTACTATAGTTCTACTTTCACGTTTTTGACTTGGGAAACTAGAAGAAATATAATGTAGAAAATGATTCCAATATATATGCATTTGGTTAACATTTCTCTGCAAATACAAACTAATATTTTTCAGTCAGTTCAACAGCACCCTCTTGTAGTCTGAACTCCCAATACCCCAGAGCCCTGAGTATTTGGGCTCCCCAAATACTTGGTTTCCCCAGTTATTACTATATACACATATCTGTAGTATTGCAGAAGATTGTGGAATGTTATTCTCTTGGCCCATAGTCATGCCATGCTATACCATACCAGGCAATTCTAGCAATCTATTAGTGAAAATCTCAACATCTTATGATTTTTCAGAATATCAAGGTCTTCATTTATACAAACAAATTCTTTCAAAAAAAAAAAACACCAAAAACACAACAAAAGGCATATAGATAGAACGTACAATTATAAAGCTCTGAATGGTTCTTTGACAATGACTTGGCCACCTTCATGATCTTAGTCATATCTGTAAGTGTTTTACTTCCTATCTTTTAAGGGCTATCAAGAGGGCCACACATTCTGGGTTTGGTATTTTTCTTCTTTGCTTATTTGGAGCAGTGCAAATTCATGAGACCCATATAACTTTTCTCTGTGTCTGCTATTCATAAGAGTCCCTTAAGAGAGCGGTCTCAATTTTGTTGCAAGTAATCGCTAAAGGAAATGGAGTATATTGATTAGATGAAAATATTTGAGTACCACTATGCATGTGACTTCTCTTTTGCCAGGATACAATGCAACCATCCTGGCTTATGGACAGACTGGCTCTGGAAAAACCTATTCAATGGGAGGTGCATACACTGCAGAGCAAGAGAATGAACCAACAGTTGGGGTCATTCCTAGGGTAATACAGCTGCTCTTCAAAGAAATTGATAAGAAGAGTGACTTCGAATTTACTCTGAAAGTATCATACTTGGAGGTAAATGATTTGTCTTTAATTTTTCTGAGTTTAAATTTATCTTTGGGTAGAAAAATAAATCCTAATCAGATTTTTCCTGGCATGACTCAAATTAATAAATTTCATTTTTAGTAAATTACATTGTAATAAATTGATAGAAAAAACTTACTGGCTCAGTTGGATCTGGCTTCCACCCAGTTCTTTCTTCATTATCAGAATAGTCTGTTTAATCTGATTGTTAGAGGAGTTGGGATTGCCACATGAAAAGATGATAGGAATTCTTTTAATTCCAGTTTGGCCTCTATCATTGATTCCCTATAGTCTGGAGAAAAATATTTGATTTCCTTTTACTATTTTGGGGCTTAAGTGATAATGCTGCTACTTCATGAAGAATGTTATAAAAATTGGGTGACATATTGAGTTGTATAGGTGATGACAGAGTGTGTTTATTCAACAGATATTGAGTACCTACCATGTTATGTCCCTATTCTAGGTATTTGGGCTATAACAGTGAACAAAAGAGATAAAAGTCCCTGCCCTTGTAGGTGTTTTCATTCTAGTGTATTATCAGTATAGAAGTAGATTGACTAGTTATATCTAACCTTGTGATACCAAAAACACCTGTTTAGGGAATTTGTGGCTTCTGGGAAACTAACAGTGATAAGATTTCTTATTTTTAAGGAGCAATAATTAAACTTATATGATTTAAGCATGTAGTTATAAATTGTATGTGAATACTTCATCCCGAAGTTGAATCTTAATAGGTATAGGAGGTATAGAGTTGAAAGATGGGGAATTAAGCATCAAGATTACCTTCTTGAATCTTCATTAACCCAGTTTTGTCCAAGGTAATCAAATGAAAAAATAACTTAGATACCTGGTATGTTAAATGATAGCAACAGCAATATTAGCAAACAAATATAGTGCTTACTACGTGCTGAACACTGTTCTAAATACTTAAAAGTTCTGGTTGTTGAAATATCGGTTGCCACTTCTTCCTTTTGCTTCCCACTTCCACCCTCTACTAAGGACTCATTACTTAGGGTATAACAAAATGGGTGAAGGTGACACTGTTATGACACTATCAAAGAACTGAATTTGGGCCCCCATGTTACTTTTCATTGTGTCTGCTATTCCTAAGAGTCTGTCTTAAGAGAGCAGTCTCAGTTTTGTTATAGTAATATGTGAATTCATTCTTGCAAGTACCAAATGTTTGTATATAGGGTTAAAGTCCTTTTCTTAATTAAAAATATAATGTTTGTTGTAAAAATATTTTAATACAGAAAGTCACAAAGAATTTAAAAATAATCTACAATTCCACCACCCTGAGTTTACCGCTGATAACGTCTTGTTTTTACTACTTTATTTTCAACAATACCAGATTTACAATGAAGAAATCTTGGATCTTCTATGCTCGTCTCGTGAGAAAGCCTCTCAAATAAATATACGAGAGGATCCTAAGGAAGGCATAAAGGTGTGTTTGTTGTTGTTGTTATTATTATTTAAAAATGTTGCTCACTATTGCTCACTACTAAAATTCATATCCCTTTTATTTGCCACTGTAGTTTTAATTGACTACTAACATCTTTCAGATTTGGTGTGGTCCTAATTCCCTTTGTTAATCTACAATTCCTACATGGGAAGGATGTATTATCACCTTCCTGTTACCTTTTCAAGTAATGCTAATATCAATTAAATATTTATTAACTATTTACAGAGTTCTAAAGCTGGGCTGTTCAGCATGGTAGCTACTAGTCATAAATGGCTATTTAAACCTAAATGAACTAAAATTGAATAAAATTTAAAATTTAGTCCCTCAGTTACGCCAGCCACACATCAGGGCTCAGTAGCTACATGTTGCTACTGTATTGGACAGCACAGATACAGAACTTATCCATGGTCAGAAAATTCTGTTGGATAACACTGGGATAGACATTATGCCAGGCTCTAGTATGATATCTTAAGATTAAAAAGTTGAATAATATAACCTTTTTAAAAATTCGTAAGTACCATCGGAAAAAGAGATCACTTATTTGAGAGGCTTCTGTCACATGGTATAGATGCAGGATGTGGAGCTATAGCTGAACAGAAAATTTGAGGCAAGGTTGGGAGTTTTGTACCTGGGAGTGGACCAAATTCAGAAGCCAGTGTTGAAAACAGGCAGAGCTTGAGTATAGCACCAATTTGAGTATTCAGGAGTGGGAGAATCTGAGGCTGGAAATGGATGAGAATATGTAGCACAGACTTGGGAAAACTTGGTAAATAATATATTACCCATCTTTCTCTCCTTCATCTTCCCTGCACAGAAAATTGAAGGTTTAGGGTAGAGGTGCCTAGGGGACAGGTGCTCGTGCTTCTGATTTTGTGTGTTTTTTTCTTGTGAGTTGTTAAGCCGTTATCCAAGAGCTAAAGCAGGGTTTAAAGGATCAGACCTATTTTGAAAGCCTGATAAGCTTGGAATACAAGGGATAAGTTTGGATACTGGGAATAAGAAACCTGAGCAAAATTCATGCTATCACCAAAGAGAATGTTGGTAGTAAGCCAGCTCTGGACCGAATTCTAAGATCTTTTCTATGCTCCATGCTAAAGCAGGAATTAAATCCCAAGCATTATTTGAGGTGAAATTTACAATAAAAAAATGTGTAGATTTCTGACTAAAATTGGGGTTGGTAAGGACAAGTTCATAAATACTTTTCAGATGGGATAAATGGAATATAAATAAGTAGAGAAAAGAGTAAGGGCATTCTTCTGGTGAGGAATAGTTTAAGCAGGAAAGCAGAAAATATACTCCTCGGGGTAATAAGACTGGACCAGTCAGTCTGAATTCAGGGATATGGGTTGGGAAGTGATAGGAGATATGGTTAGGGTCAAATTATGAATCCAGATTAAAGAACTTGGTTTTTATCCCTGTGAACACTGTATAAACTCTAATACTTCTGAATGAAGGCTTGCTGTGGCTGCTTTTACCCACTTTTTATTTCCGTACTTATCTCTCCAGCGGAGTGAGCTCCTGGATGTTATCCTCATTACCTTGCACAAGACTTTGTAGTTTGGTGACATTTTAGGAAGCAGGATTTTTAGGAAGACTAAACAAAAATGGATTGAAAAGGAGAAAGACTATGGTGAGGAAGACCAATTGGGGAAACTGCCTTATTTTTCAGGCATGAAGTAATATGGGCCTGGACTAGGCAAGTAGAAAGAAAAAGGAAGCAATGGATTCAAAAGAAGAATGACTGAGAGTTGGTGCATTAGAGTTGAGATATGGAGGAATGAGGAATTGAAGGTGAAGCTGAGGTTTTGAGAATAGAGATATTAATAGAAATGGAGAAGTAGTGGATCGAATCAGTGTTGGTGGGAGGAAAATGAGTTTGGTTTAAAACTTACTGATTTCAAAGGGTAAGTAGCAGGCAATTATAAAAGACTAGAAATTAGGGCACCAGTATAGATTTGGGTGCTATGGAGTAATAAAATCATAGCATATTGGGGCTAGCAGGGACTTTCTCTAGTTCAATCTCCAGAGGCTCCAAGAGATTTAACTTGTACAAACTCTCATAGCTAGATATAGTACTAAGCCTAGGCCCCTGTTTTTCTGGCTTCCTAATCCAGTGGTAACTACGCCATGCAATTTCCCCCCAGTGAAAAATAGGTTTAAAACAGATCAGAGGTATAGGGAAGAGCCTAGGGTCACACAGAAGAGAAAGTAGCAAAGAGAAATACCATAGCTGTTTGTGTTGCACTTGCTGTCCATCAGGTCAAAGCTTACCTTCACTTGGAACTCCCTGGAAAGCACCTATCCGTTGCTACCCTAAAATCTAAACATCTTTTCTAGCTCTAGTTTTGGCCAGCACCTTTGTTTTGGAAGCCCCTAGGGGAGACTGGAGACCTTGATATGCAGGGATCACGATGATCAGAGTTGCAAGTTAAAACCACTACTATTCTATTAAGGTTCTATTGGAACATCAAGGCATTATTTTTTTAAAACACCAATTCTTATATTTCTGATGAAGTATTTGAAATATGAATCATAAGGGAATTTTTTTCTTTCTCTGAATTAGATTGTGGGACTCACTGAGAAGACTGTTTTAGTTGCCAAGGATACTGTTTTCTGTTTGGAGCAGGGCAACAACTGTAGGACTGTGGCCTCCACAGCTATGAACTCCCAGTCATCCCGTTCTCATGCCATCTTTACAATCTCTGTAGAACAAAGAAAGAAAAGTGACAAGTAAGTTACAATTTAAAGAGTCAAGATTTTTAACATTAGTTCTACTAAAGTTGTATATTAGGTTGCTTCTTTAGTTGATTTGACAAATATCTGACATCAGTACTCTGAGCACTAGTAACCAGTGGGGTCATTTTGACTGACTTGAAAGAAAAGAAGAGCTGGCATGTCAACTTTGATACTCAGCCATCCTCAAGCTTATGTACTACTCTCACTTGTATCTTTCTGTCATTATCACAGGAGTAGCAGCTTTCGCTCCAAGCTGCATCTTGTAGACCTTGCTGGATCAGAAAGACAAAAGAAAACCAAGGCTGAAGGTGATCGTCTAAAAGAGGGTGAGAATAATTAAGGCCACAGTTGTAGATAAAAACTTCTAGTACTCCTATTCATGGTATTGGTATCTTGACTGGGATATTTCAGGTCACAATCTAATAGTACCTACAATTCAAGCTTGCGGCTGATTTCAGAAATAGTGAAAAATTGTTTCTTTCCCTTGCACTCATTTTCTAATTTAGGTATGAGATTTCGATCTGGCTCTTGGTTTGATTTCATCTGGTCCAGGCAAGTTTTTGTTTTGTTTTGTTTTATCCTCAACTACTTGTGATTAATATCAATATCCTCAAGTATTCACTGTTCTTCCCAGATGTTGTCACATAAACATCATCAGCATGGCTTCCATATCATCATTGAAGTTGTTGGATATACATGGTGAAGCTCCTAAGGCTATTAGGAGCTATTAGATGTATGCTATTAGAAAACTTCATTTAGCATGATAGTGACCTGTAATCTGCATGCTGTGGGAATGGTTTTTTAAGCCATTATTAATCTATCTAACAAAAATTAACCCGTTTCTATTTCTCAATTTTGTACTTAAGGATCTCATAAAATATTTCATCAAATGCCTTGCTAAAGTTCAGATATACTGTGTCTACCATATTTCTCATAGCCACCAACATAGTAACAATACAAAAAAGAAATAAGAATTAGCCTAAATTGACTTTTTCTTAGTGAATTCAAGTTGGCTTCTAGTGCTTATTCTTCCATTTCTAGGTTCTTGCAAGCCATCCCTGTAATAATCTAGAAGACATCAGATTTACTGGTCTGTAATTTGTGGAATTAACTTTTACCTCCTTTTTTTTAATGTTGAAATTACATCTGCCCAATCTTCTGGAGCATCTTTTCTCCATGATTTCTCAAAGACCCTTGACATAGCTTCAACACTCTCATTTGAAACTACTTTATTTATTTATTTATTTATTTATTTATTTATTTATTTATTTATTTATTTATAAACTACTTTTAGTTCCCTTGGCTAGAATGCACCTGTTCCAAGATATATGAATTCTTATTAAAGTAGTTGAGTTCTCACTACCTCTTTACTCATATTGGGCTTCAGTTCACTTGGGAACTGAAGCAAAAATAGTAATTGAGGAATTTTACCTCTTTGTCATTTATCAGTATTATACTGCTGGCACAGGGCAGAGACCTATTTCTTCCTTATTCAGCTTTTTGTCCTGAATGTATTTAAAAGTGCCCTTTTGGTTCTGTGTTTGCACTTTGTGATTTAACCTTATTTAAAGGTTCTTGTGCCCCTTTTCTCTTTTTTTAGGTGTACAGTTCTGTTATTTTTTAATGGCTTTATTGAGATATAATTCACATTACATAAAATTTACCCATTTAAACTGTACACTTTAGTAGATTTTAGCGTATTCAGAGTTGTGCAACCACCACCACAATCTACTATTAGAACATTTTCATCATTCCCCAAAAGAAACTCAATAGCCATTAACAGTCACTCCCTATTCTCACCCCTTTTCTAGCTCTAGGCAACCACTAATCTATATTTCATATAAATATAATCATGCAATATGTGGTCTTTTGTGACTGGCTTGTTTCACTTAAGGTTTTTTGTTTGTTTTATAAAGGATTTTTCATGTGATAAATTTATTTTTTTATCAAAGTGTAGCTGACATGCAATACAGGGTGGGGCAAAAGTAGGTTTACAGTTGTTTGTATGAAAAATAATACAATAATTAATAAATAATAATACAAGAATAAGCTGTTTCATGTACTCACAAGTGTAAACCCTGTATTATATTAGTTTCAAGTGTACAATATAGTGATGGACATTTATATACCTTACAATGTGATCACCATGATAAATCTAGTAACCATCTATCACCATACAAAGTTATTACAATACTACTGACTGTATTCCCTTTGCTGTATATTACATCCCTGTGACTTATTTGTTTATAACTAAAGGTTTGTACCTTTTATTCCCCTTTACATTTTCAACATAACACCCCCTTACCCTCCTCTCCTCTGGCAACCATCAGTTTGTCCTTTGTATTGGTGAGTCTCTTTCTGTTTTGCTTATTTGTTGTTTTTGTTGTTTTAAGATACCACATATAAGTGAAATCATATGGTAATGTGATATTTGTCTTTGTCTGACTGACTTCATTTAGCATAACACTCTCTAGGTCCATCCATGTTGTCACAAATGACAAGATTTTATTCTTTTAATTGCTGAGTAATATTCTGTTGTAAATACATACAGCACATCTTTATCCATTCTTCTGTTGATGGGCAGTTGGGTTGCTTCCATATATTGGCTATTATAAATTGTACTGCGTTGAACATGGAGATACATATATCTTTTTGAATTAGTGTTTTGGATTTCTTCAGGTAAATAGTCAGAAGTGGAATTGCTGGGTCATATGATAGTTCTGTTTTTAATTTTTTTAGGAACATTTTTGTGGCTGAACCAATTTATGGTCCCACCAAATAGTTAACAAACAAGTGTTGGCAAGGATGTGGAGAAAAGGGATCCCTCACTCACTGTTAACATAGGTTTTCAAGGATCGTCCATGTTGTAGCATGTATTGGTACCTCATTCCCTTTTATCACTGAATCATATTCCATAGTATGGATATACAACATTTTGTTTGTCCATCAGTTGTATTTAATTTGGCTGTTTTGAATGTTGCTCTGTTAACATCTGCGTATAAGTACTTGTGTGCACAAATATTTTAATTTCTCTTTAAGTATGTACCTAGGGTGTAATAGCTGGGTCATATGGTAACTTTAATTTTCTAAAAAAATTAAGATGTAGTTATTATACATTAAAATTCAGCATTTTAAAGTGTACAATTCAGCGATTTTTATTGTATTCACAAAGTTGTATAACAGTCACCATAGCAAATTTTAGACTATTTTTATCACTGCAAAAAGAAATCCACATCCATTAGCACAGTCACTTCGTTTCTCCCCAACACCTCCTCCCTCCCTCCCAGGCAATAACTAATCTTCTTTCTGTCTCTAAAGATTTGCCTATTCTGGACATTTCATATAAGTGTAATCATGCAATATATGGTCTTTTGTGTGTGTGGCTTCTTTCACTTAACATGCTTTCAAGGTTCATCCATGTTGTAGCATGTATCAGAACCTCATTGCTTTTTTTTATCTATCTGCCCATTTATTTATATTCAATTTATTGGAATGATATTGGTTTCACCAAACAATATTCTATTACATGAATATATTAAGTTTTTATTTATCCATTCATTTCTTTTTTCTTTTCTTTATCCATTAATTTCTTGACTGATTTTGAGTTATTTCCACTTTTGGTTATTGAATAATGCTGCTTTGAGCATTGATGTACAAGTTTTTGTGTCCATGTATGTTTTCATTTCTCTTGGGTATATACCTAAGGGTGTAATTGCTGGGTTATAATGGTAACTCAGTGTTTAAACTTATTGAAGAACTGCCAGACTTTTTCACAGCAATTTACATTCTTAGCAGCAATATATAAGGTTTCTGCCCTGGCCGGGGTGTCTCAGTGGTTAGAGCGTTGGCCCACACACTGAAGAGTCTTGGGTTCTCTTCCTGGTCAAGGGCACATACCAGGGTTGCAGGTTCAATCCCCCTCCCTGGGGCACATGCAGGATGCAACCAGTGGATGTGTCTCTCTCACATCGATGTTTCTCTCTGTCCCTCCTCCTCCCTTCCTTACTTCCACTCTCTAAAACTCAGTGGGAAAAAAATATCTTCGGATGAGGATTAACAACAACAATCCATATATATATGGATTCTAATTTCACCATATTTTTAGTTTTGTCTTTTTTTATTTAAATATTCTATTATTGACACTATTACAGATGTCCCCCATTTTCCTCCCCTTTGCCCACCTCCACTCAGCCCCTGTTCCCCCTCCCTTGGACCTCACCACACTGTTGTCTGTATCCATGGGCTATGCATATATGTTCTTTTTTTTTCTTTTTTTAATATTATTGATTTCAGGGAGAGGAAGGGAGAGGGAGAGAGAGATAGAAACATCAATGATGAGAAAGTCGTCATTGATCGGCTGCCTCCTGCACGCCCCCAACTGGGGATCTAGCTGGCAACCTGGGCATGTGCCCTGACTGGGAATCAAACTGCGATCTCCTGGATTCTAGGTTGATGCTCAGCCCCTGAGCCATGCCCGGCCAAGCTGCATATATGTTCTTTAGCTACTCCCTTCACCTCCCTTTATCCAGTCCCCCAATCCCCCTCCCCTCTGACATTTGTCAGTCTGTTTCATGTATCCAAGCCTCTGGTTCTATTTTGTCTGTCAATTTATTCTGTTGATTAGGTTCCCCATATAAGTGAGATCATGTGGTAGTTTCTCTGACTGGCTTATTTCGCTTGATATAATAATTTCCAGGTCCATCCATGCTGTCACAAACTGTAAGAGTTCCTACTTTTTTACAGCTGTGTAGTATTCCGTTGTGTAAATGTACCACAGCTTTTTTATCCACTCATCTAATGATGGGCACTTGGGCTGTTTCCAGATCTTGGCTATTGTAAATAATGCTGCTATGAACATAGGGATGGATATTTTCTTTCTGATTGGTGTTTCAGGATTCTTAGGATATATACCCAGAAGTGGGGTTACTAGGTCAAAAGGCAGTTCCATTTTTAATTTTTTGTGGAAACTCCATACTGTTTTCCACCATGGCTACACCAGTCTGCATTCCCACTAGTAGTGCACCAGGGTTCCTTTTTCTCCACATCTTCGCCAGCATTTGTTCTTTGTTGATTTATTGATAGTAGCCATTCTGATAGTTGTGAGGTGATACCTCATTGTAGTTTTAATTTGCATCTGTCTGGTTAGTGACCTGAAGCGTTTTTTCGTATGTCTATTGACCATCTGTATGTCCTCTTTGGAGAAGTATCTATTTCAGGTCCTTTGCCCATTTTTAATTGTATTGTTTGTCTTCCTGGTGTTGAGTTGTATAGGTTCTTTAATTATTTTGGAAATTAACCCCTTATCAGATGAATCATTGGCGAATAT